CATATTATAGCTTGGGATTAATAGAGTTTGGAATATGACATAATATCCAAAAATCATGTGCAATTTTATTTTCAATGCAATAAGAAATGTGATTTCTTTATTTCTATAACTGTAGTTCATAATGACAATTACGATATCCTACTTAGGTATATTCTTCCGAGATTAGCTTAAAAATTCATTACATTGATTTTTAAAAATATATAAATAAAAATAATAGTATATCTAATAATTCAAATTTACATATTTCAACTCAATATGAATCTGACTTATTAATAGTAATGAAATAAATATAAAATAAAAGTATTTTAATATTTAACCACGTGTACTGCACATGCATAAAAACTAGTATATACATATATGAGCAATTCTTATATCAACTTAAGTGGATGGTCCACCAAAGTTTCTATATATATATATATATATTCATGAATATTTGTTAGCTCACATGGTTAGGGGATTCATCAGCAATATAGCAGGGCTTATGTTCTAAACTTTGGACTATCACATTTTTTATACTTTCTTATGGGATTCATCGATCAGCAATATAGTAGGGCTTATGTTCTAACCTTAGGACTATCACATTTTTTATACTTTCTTATAATTTTCGAGATTTTTTTGCATATAAACCCAACAATTGTATATATTTGTAAATATTCCCTCCAAAGCATTTTTGTTAACCTCTAAATTGCCTTTTCCATTTAAGCTTATGCCTTTAATTAAACTAATTAAATTTTTTAAATAATGTCTAATATACCATTTAATAAATATAGAACATAAACAGATATTTAATGACAAAGTGAATCGACTGCACATTTGGTTAAATTCTATTCGTTTATGAATGGAATACTAAAAATTATTCGTTTACTGTTAAATGAGATAGCAAATCGAATATGATCGAATAGCTGGACGAATAATAACCAAACTGTTTATTAATTATTTGGTTCACTCCCACCTCTAATTGGAACCTTCCAATCATCCGGGTCACTGCAGTGAGTATTAATTCAAATTGTTAATACTTGATATGGTTCACTATTTCTATGTAATATCCTAATGAGAGCATAATATTAGAAATATGCTCTTTCATAGGTAACGATTACAAATTATCAACTATTAGGAAAAGTGAGAGAAAGTCATATTAATAATTGAGTAAGGGGTTCGTATAACTTAGAAAGCATCCATATGCATTCTCTATATAGCAAAACTTTATTAAAATTCAGATAACAGTGAAATAGAAAAGTAGATAAAAGTTGTTACCATTGACACTTAAAACTTTGAGAACTCCAAACATCCTTCAAATAATAGAGTTCCACATCAGCGTAACTAGAGGATATTACTGACAGCCTAAATATTGGCAAATATTTGACTCATTTAATTTGTTAATATCTTGTAATTAGCTCGAAGTATATACGTAAATTCCTAACCAGTCAAAATATATGGCAATAACCTGTATATAGTCTATCTAAATATATGGAATGAAATATTCCATTTCCAGTCAATTATTCCACTTTTGATATTCCAAAAATAATAATAAATTATGTGCCAATCAACAAATATCGCCAAACAACTACCAATACTCATAACAAACTTTTGGTGTCAGCTGCATGAATATTGATCTTCTATTTAATTAGTCCTGCTAATTGTTATTACCTCTGTTAGTTAAGTTAATGATTATCGTAATACTTTATAATTGTTTCAGACCACGTTCTCTTATCCTTAATCCCCTTTTGTATCGCCTGATATAATTATATCATCTCAATTTCTACCTATGCACTTATTTCTTTTCTCATTTCTTATTCCATATCCGAGCACGAATAAAATATCCAACAGAGTTTTCCAAATACTTTTCATAAAAAATTAACCGTATTATAATTTGAAAGTTGTGATTCCACCAGCCAACAATTAGGTAAGCATTTTGTTTTTCTCCTTTGATTTGGTATTAGCAGCCAAATTAATCATCACTCCTGCAACAACAAATATTTCGCCTTATTTGACTTTTTAGTACTTAAAAAGTGCTCTAATTTGTGAGGATATATTAAATAAAATCAAATAATTCGTGGGTTGGATAATAATGTACGGGATCACGGACTAGTGTTTACCAATAGATTAATGCTTGACAAACTTTTTACATTTGTATCAGGTATTAAAAATTTCATGCTTGTGATCCAACAATAGTCAATATGGTATATCATGACCAAGGCATTGGTTAAACAAGAATAAAATGAGAAACTTATGGGCTAAATTTCACTAAATCCCTAATATGTTCGGATTTTGGCACTTAATCTCGAAAATATTTGAAACACTCCCTACACTTCCATAAGTTTGATAATTTTAAAAAATCCCAAAACTTTTTTTATTTTCTTGTCGCTTAACTCTCATAATGACATAAGCCCCATGTTTTGAGTTCCACACAGAGAATACTGTGTAAATAACAAAAAGTAGTTAGTTGGAATCAAGTTGTTATATAACTTATTTACAGTTTAGTGAAAGTTTAAAATTATTTGTCGAATAAGGGGCTATTTGGTTCGTTTTTTAACTCGGTGGAAAAGTTTTACACCGCCTCTACATCAGATTTTTCGTGACCACGTAGGATTTAAGCTTTTCGTCTGTTTTTTTCCCATCTTTAGTTCGCTAGGGTTGAAGAAGGGAAATCGGTGAAAAATTGCCGCCACATCAGATATTTTCTCTCCCCCAATTCCTTCCTCAACCTCGTGAAATCGACGAAAACTGCAGCCACGCCGGCTTTTTGCTTTCCTCGTTGATTTTTTTCGGCGAGCTATACTTACCTCTTTGCTCTCCTCCAGCCAGAAACTTTCGCGACCTTCGTTGTCTCTGTATTTGAAGAAATTCGGGGGTGGGGGTCTGATCTTTGCCGACAATAATCAGATCGCATCTTTGCCGACGCTGTTGCTTCATAACTCAAGGTAAAAATTAATTTTTTTTTAATTTTTCTTATTATTAGTTTAATTTACAGCAATTATCTAATAATTTGTGGGAGGGGGGTCTGATCTACGTAATTTTTCTGATTTTTGAAGCAATTTTTCTTTTTTTCCTAATTTTTTGAGATTTCAAAGCAATTTACAGCAACTATACCCAACTCATTTTATTATTAGTTTAATTTTTCTGATATTCGAAGCAATTTACAGCAACTATACCCAACTCATTTTATTTCTTTAGGATGGAATATCTTACCTTGTTAGGTGATGGTTAATTAACTGACTAATGTTAGGTTAACCATTTGATGGGTGTTTAACTTATTTTTAGTGAGCAAGAGAGGGTATCACATCTTAAGAAAGCAAATCCTAAGCAAGAATTTGATGTTTCAATCAAGTCCATACGGCAAGCTATAATCCCTTGATTGAGGGTTAAGTTTATACATATAGAGTAGCATACATCGCTTAATACTCAGCAGTAACTTTTGAATCAGTGTAATATAGAGATTTTGAAAATTAATACACAGATCAGAGTATTGTTAATTCTTTTAGTGCACCACTGATGCTATTATGAAAACCATTGGATTTTTTTAAGTTAACAGTGGCATCAGCACTGCAAATGAAGGTGGAAGACTTATTTATACTTTGATATAATTTTCCTTCCCTTTCAATATCATTACACGTAGTTATTTGCTAAAGGAAATTGATGAGACACAGTAATCTACTGTTCTGCTTTATTAGCTCTTTCTATGTTTTGGTGGAGGAAATCATTTTGAGTTGGAAATCATTTGTGGTTTGGCAATTAGTTCCAAGTTAAATTGAATACAAATATTTAGCAGACCAATTGATTTGGCTGAAGATCTTTTTCATCCAAAGAGCTTTGAGCCCCAATATCATAGAACCGCATTTAAGATTTTAGAGAAAAAAATATTCAGTTAAATTTGTGAGATTTGTGTTCAGTTAAATTTGTAAGATTTTAGAGTAAAATTTAGGATTTTAAGAAAAATTAGTTTATGGTTGTCGGTTTTTTCACACAAAATTGGAGGGGTTAAAAATTAGTTTATTTCCACGTTGGTTTTGTGTTAAATGTTTGTAGTTCTTATTTAATTTTTTTAATGAAATTCACTATTTGTGACTGATAAATATTGTAAATTTATTGCATGTTGGTAGAAATAAAACTTTGAAAGAAGTTATGATTAATAGGAAACGTGATTAATAATTAAGAATTTTTTTCTAGCTTTTTGTAGGATACTACTGATTTACGTATATAGTAGATAACGTTTCTAGCTCATCAAATTAAGTTTCATTATGTTCTATGCAATAGAGATTGTTCTGTGAATTTATTATTGCAGATTTTGAGAAAAATAGTTTTTGCTAAAATTTGTGCAAAATGTTTGTAGCTTTTTTTTTAGGATTTCTTATTTTTGAGAAAAAATAGTTTCATGTTAATGTAATTTTTTTTCAATTTAGGAGCTAAAAGTTCATATCTTTGATATTTTTAAATGCTAGATATTTAAGATAAGAAGTAATCTATGTGGGTAATTTGTAATTTGTTCAGATTTTATAAGAATTCGACTTAATTTCTAACTGAATAATAGTTTTTTGCATCGTAAATGGATAATGATGGTGATTGTTCAGATGAACAAAGTGTTGTTAATATAGTTCAAGGTGTTGCCCTATCCGTTTTAATTATAATAATTACTGTTATAAGGAGAATGCAATATAGACGTAAATCAATTCGTAGTGGTCCAAGTAAGGAAAAAAAGACAAGAGAGAGATAGAATTGAGTACATAGAGCGAATTTATAATGATTTTAGTGATAGTTGCGTGAATTATATTAGAATGCGGAGTGATGCTTTTGTTAAACTAGCGAGTATAATGAGGAACAATAGCATGCTAACAGACTCAAGAAATATAACAGTGGAAGAACAACTTATCATGACACTGAACATTCTGGGTCATAAATCTAAAAATCGGATTGTCAGATCTCATTTTATAAGATCACGGGAGACAGTTAGTAGATATTTCAAAAACGTATTACAAGCAATTATTTGCCTGCATGGACGGTACATGAGACAAGCCCCCAATGACATTCCCCAAGAGATCGTTAACAACCCGCTATACTACCCTTATTTCAAGGTATATCTACACTTTAAGCACATTTAAGTGTATAATCAATGGAAGTAAATTGTAATTTAGGTGTGTGATACATGTATAATAGGATTGCATTGGAATGATTGACGGAACTCATGTTGATGCAATGCTTCCGATTAATCTTGTTGCACGCTTTCGAGGCCGCAAAGGTTTTATACAAAATGTGCTTGCAGCTTGCACCCCAAACAAGCTATACACATATGTTCTAGCAGGTTGGGAGAGGTCTACAAATGGTTATAGGATTCTTCAGGATGCATTGTCTAGACCACAATCACATGGATTGAGAGTCTATGATGGTAATTAAATAAAGACTTAACTTAAAATTTTTTAAGTTTAATATTCAAACTTGACTTAACAATTATCTTAATAAAATTGTAGGCAAAACTATCTGTGTGATGCTGGGTACCCAACCATGCCAGGTTTCATCTCTCCATACCGAGGTGTTCGATATCATTTGAAAGAACATTCGGGTAAAACACCTAAGAATAGAAGAGAATTATTCAATCTAAGACATTCTTCATTGAGGTCTAAGATTGAATCTGCTTTTGGCACATTGAAGAATCGTTTCAAGATTTTATGTGCTAAGCCGCATTATTCTTTTCCTATACAAGTAGATATTGTATTGGCATGTACGGTACTCCATAATTTTATTGCAACTGTGGATCCAAGAGATAAATTACTCAACGATGATGAATTTAATAAAGACATTGATGGTGAGGTGGCCTTCGAGAATGACACTAATTTAGTTGATTTTACTCAAAATCAATCTCAAAGAGAGCAAACTAAATCAAGAAATAAGTGGGAGACTCTTAGGGATGACATTGCTTGGGCGATGTGGGTGGACTACTGTGATAAGTTTAATCATGGTGTAACCACAGAGACTTGATTTTTATTTTTATTTTATTTATGCTCATATATGTACTCAATAACTCTATTTCCATTAATGGCGTTCTGTTTTTAATTATCTTATTCTTGTTTTACTTCTTTCAGTTATCTAACTTTCTCTATTTAATTAGTAATGGCTGATAATACATCATTAAGTGGGAGAGATAATCAAAAAGGCAAGGGGATAGTTCCATCACCTTCCCCACCACCTCAACCCCCCCAGTCTGTGCATCACGGCGATGGTAGGTATTTTCCATTTCAGCAGTCATACTTTGTACAACCACCTCAAGCATATCCGAACATGTCATTCCATGATAGCAGCTACTTTCCGATGCACCATACTCTGGGGTCATATACGTACATGCTGAATTCTCTAACTTTACCTCCACAATTTCACAGTCCTAATCTAAGTGGGGTGTAGCTTTTTCACATTAGTGGTAATGGATCTACTCCCGAATCAGACTCCAAACTGGACCTCGTAGAAGAAGGGGTAGAAACAACGCCAAATCCAAAGAAGAAGAGGAAAAAAACCACATAAAAAAATGATGAAGCAGATGGTTCTCATGGAACCAAACATTTGTTCTGAGATTCCCGTTATGATGATGAGCTCATTCCATTTCTTGCCGACTTGGTAAGAAAGGGTTATGAACCCGACAAAAGCATTAAGAGAACTGCTTTTCATATGGCTTCTCAACACATTAATGAGAAGTTTACCACAGTTTTTAAGTGGGACAATATCATGCACCACATCAAAACTCTACGAATAAGATTTTGTGATATGAAAAATTGTCGTAATCTCAGTGGTGCTGGATGAGATGAAAGTACGAAGACTGTCATCATGGAGTCTGAATGTTTGGATAGGTGGATTGAGGTAAATAAACTCTAGTAAAAGAATATGATTTTTTCCATTTCTTTTACTTATTTTTATTGAATTAATTAAAATATGCTTTTTCATGACAAGAGCTTTAAGAATGCTAAGCTTAGACAATATGTCAATAAACCCTTGAGGCATTATGATGATCTCGTCCTTATCATCGGTGATGATCAAGCTACAGGACAATTTTCTAGTGATGCTTGGAAAAAGTTTAGCCGTAGTGAGACCAAAAATCTTGGAGATGAGATGAACTCACCAATGCATTCTCCCCAATCTACTCAAGTACACATTTTAGATGACGAGGACACTCCTTCACCTAATGAAGCACACAACACATCAAGTTCTAAAGCTAAGTCATCCTCCGTCAAGGTAAAGGCTCGTAAGACCAACCTAGATAGTGAGATTATGCTAAAAATGATGGATAAGATAGATGTATTTAGCACAAACATGAAGTGTGTGAATATGCATTGGACCGAGAAGTTATCCACGGTCCTATATGCTCATTCACATAACTTTAGTGTTGCTAAGTTAGACACATACTACCGTCACCTCTTTATGAATGAGCATGAATCTAGACTATTTATGGGCATATCTTCGGATGGTCAGAAGGAGATGATAGAGGCATTTCTCAACAAAGAGGATTGAAGACATATAGATCATGGGTGTGTGTGGTAGTTTATGATTCTCACTTAAGCACATTTATGTTTGAAAACTTTTTTATTTATGGTTGAAGACTAATATCGTTTGGTTTAGAGACAATACATTTTTAAAATGATGTTTAGTTTTGTGGTTGTCGAATTGTATGACAATGACTAATACTATATTTATATTGTAGTAAGTAGTTATTTGCTTTTATTTTTTAATATTATCTTTCATAGTGTGAATATTGTGGTGTACTAACCTTTAAATTAAACTTGTGACTGCAGGATATTCATAAGTCACCATACAATTTTTTAAGATGCAAGCAACCTACAATGTGCACACATTTTACTGGATGGCTATTGCTCTGGGTATTTTGTGTAGTAAGTTTTCATGACATGAGTTTACGTTGGTGACTTTTTTACTTTTAGGCTATGATTATTGTCGTAATATCTGAGATTAACAACTGGCAATATCTATTGATATTGTACTAGATGGCTAACAATGATGATATTGACCATATTATGAGCTCTCAGCCCTCAACCCTATTCACTTTGGTTTGCATCAATTTAGGCTATGATGATTGTTAGTTTTTCTGAGATTAGCAACCTGCAATATCTATTTATATTGTACTGGATGGCTAACAATGATGATATTAACCAAATTCTGATCCTTCAGCCATAATTAGTTTTGCAGCTCTGGTTGGCTTTGTGACCATTACAATCTGTTTGTGTTCAGTTTGGTGTGCATATGCTGTTTTTCTTGATTTTTTTTTTTGCTTGGTTATTTGTGGGCACATGTTGCCTCTATGTGGTTGGCCGGTTGTGTAGCCTGATGTTGTTGGTTGGCATTTTTGGTGTACTTGCTGGTGTGGGTTTGCTGGTTTTGTGTTCGGTTTAGGCACTGGTTGGTTTGCTCGTTTTGTGTTCAGTTTGGTGTACTTACTGTTGTGGGTTTGCTAGTTTTGTGTTCAGTTTGGACACAGGTTGGTTTGATGGTTTTGTGTTCAGTTTGGTGTACTTGCTGTTGTGGGTTTGCTAGTTTTGTGTTCAGTTTGGGCACTGGTTTAAATGCATCACCTCATCTAATTGCACTGCACAGATATAGGGAAATGCATTTAATAGCATAATCAGTTGGTTTAAAAGAATTGTCGAGCGAGCGAGCTATTGTGGGTTTGCTGGTTTTGTGTTCAGTTTGGTTATTTTGTGTATGTTGGTTGTGAGCCAGGTTGGTTTGCTGGTTTTGTAGACTGGTTGTGAGCCATGTTGTGTAAGTGTTGTGAGCATGTTCAGGTTTTGTGTAGCCAGGTTGGTTGGCTGGTTGTGTGGCCTGGTTGTGAGCCATGTTGTGCATATGCTATTGTCACTTTTCTTTGTGCTCATTATTATCTGTTTGTGTTGATTTTGGTTTGCATCAATTTAGGCTAAGATGATTGTCAGATTTACTGAGATTAGCAACCTACAATATCTATTGATATTATACTGGATGGCTAACAATGATGATTTTGACCAAATTCTGAGCCTTCAGCCATAATCAGTTTGGCAGCTCTGGTTGGCTTTGTGACCATTACAATCTGTTTGTGTTCAGTAGCCTTCAGCCATAATCAGTTTGGCAGCTCTGGTTGGCTTTGTGACCATTACAATCTGTTTGTGTTCAGTTTGGTGTGCATATGATCAGTTTGGCAGCTCTGGTTGGCTTTGTGACCATTACAATCTGTTTGTGTTCAGTTTGGTGTGCATATATTGTTTTTCTTAATTTTTTTCTGCTCAGTTATTTGTGGGCACATGTTGCCTCTATGTGGTTGGCTGGTTGTGTAGCCTAATGTTGTTGGTTGGCTATTTTTGGTGTACTTGCTGTTGTGGGTTTGTTGGTTTTGTGTTCGGTTTGGGCACAGGTTGGTTTGCTGGTTTTGTGTTCAGTTTGGTGTACTTGCTGTTGTGGGTTTGCTGGTTTTGTGTTCAGTTTGGGCACATGTTAGTTTGATGGGTTTGTGTTCCATTTGGTGTACTTGCTGTTGTGGGTTTGCTGGGTTTTTGTTCAGCTGGGCATAGGTTTAAATGCATCACCTCATCCAATTGCACTACACAGATATATGGAAATGCATTCAATAGCATAATCAGTTCGGTTTAAAAGAATTGTTGAGCGAGCGAGCTATTGTGGGTTTGCTGGTTTTGTGATCAGTTTGGTTATTTTGTGTATGTTAGTTGTGAGCCAGGTTGGTTTGCTGGTTTTGTAGATTGGTTGTGAGCCATGTTGTGTAAGTGTTGTGCGCCACATCAGGTTTTGTGTAGCCATTTTGTGGCTGGTTGTGTAGTCGCATGTTGTTACTTGAGTGTGTTCAGTTTGGTGTACTTGCTGGTGTTGGTTATTTTGTGTAGCCTGGTTGTGAGCTAGGTTGGTTTGCTGGTTTAGTAGACTCGTTGTGAGCCATGTTGTGTAAGTGTTGTGAGTATGTTCAGGTTTTGTAGGTGTTGGCTTTGTCCTCTACGGGCATTGTCTTGCAGGTAAAAAACTTTTCTATATATTATATTTTACTCCAATCATATGGAATTAAAATTCTTGTTTCACGTTTAGGCTCATCACCTGTAAGAAACTTGTTAACAATAAATTGCAGGTTGCATTTTCTAAGGCCAAGCTGATTATAGATCCTTTATCGACAGGAGTAGTGCTCTGCGGACACAGACAAATGACTGAGGTTTGTCATCTTCCTCAAATTATGCAACTGTGTGGTTTTATGTATGTTATGGTAGGCCCAAAAGCCTAACCGAGAGCAAACAATCTTAGCTGACACGAAGCACGGAAGTAGTCGACCCCTCATCTTCAAGACGACTCCTCGGGAATCCACCAGACTCCCAATCGAGGCGAATCTCCTAGCAGTCGGCTCAGCCCTCTACCCAGTTGCTTGACCGAACCAACAACTCACTTAACTGATCGACGAGTTATGAGAACAACTCACAAACTAACTCGATCCTGCTGGGGAGGATAAGATCCAACTAAGCTATTTTTGAGATATATATCAAACAACATCACAGTATTGATCGGTCACATCAAAGGTCTCAACTGTGACAAGTCATAAATGCAAAACGGCTCATTTTGTTCCAAAGTCACTTCTGGGACATAATCGAGACACCCCCTGTGCTCAGACGACTTTTCCTCCAGTCGCCAACCGCCATCTGTAAAGCAATGAGTGGCTAAATTGGCCAGCCCATCTTCCCCTTGACCTTATCCGTCAAATCTGGGACATTATCGAGGTACCTCCTGTGCTCGAAATGACTTTCTCTCCAGTCGTTTACCACCATCTGTAAAGCTGGGGACGACTTAGCACCTCGGTTTATTCTCTGTCATGCCGTCTAATCAACTCGGGGCCTTATCAAGATCATCTCGAATGACACCTCCTCCAATCGCCAGCCGGCATGTAAGGGACAACTTCTGAATCAGCCTCCAGCTCATCCCCCACCGTCATTTACAGACCCCTCATGAAGCAACTA